CCCAGGGACTTCAGGTTACTACGACATCGAGCTGGTTGACCATTCAGTTACTGGGACACGGAATTCTTGTGAGAAGTCGTGGTCAGTAGGGTCTACTAAGTCACGTGTAATCACAAATACTTACCGCTACCGATGGCGCTATGCATCGTGAATTGGAGGAAGTTAGAATGCACCAGCCACTGAATGGTTGAATGGTCAACTGGCTAGCTTTATAATCTGAAAGCCGTGGATTCAATCCCCCCAGTGGAGACATGAATGAATGTGTACTGCCGAGGACTTCAAGACTAGGACAAAACAGTATCCAGTACTCCGTGCTGGTTTTTAGTGATTCTCTAACTGATCAAAAGTGAAACGCATTAAATCCCTACCAACTAACATTTGAAAATTAATTGAATGAAGTATAGTATTTACCCAGTTCAAGGTGATTAGTCAATAATAATCAACCAATCAGGAACAAGAAATCGATGTAGAATGAACTATTGGATTTCTGTCTTTAGACACTAACCCATACATATATCAGCCATGATTACTTCCTTTTATGTATATTATGAAAGATAATAAATAGGTGATTTTAACTTACAGTCGGTGGAATATCACCAGTGGCGGCTAAAGGTGACCTGCTTACAACTTCGGCTAGTAAAAACCTCCATCACTATAACACATTCAACAAATATACGACAATACCACCAAGTGTCAAGTGTTTCATCACAACGGAAAATTCAGGGAGGCGTTTGAAGTGAATACAGGAGTGAGACGAGACTACCCGCTACTATTGTGGTGAGAGCTGGCTGCTAGCCAAAGTTGGTAGACAGTAATTGACGTCAATGTTTATGTCCCCAATATTGGTGGTGAGAAAATGAGAACAAAGACTTTGCATAGGCGGATACAGTTAGCATATGGATGATCTGACACAGCCACAAAGAGATGCAAGGTTAACTGTATTTTCTACTAACATTAACCTACAATAATGTACATTAAGATCTATAAATATGTGATGATTTTCCTTAATAAACGATCTGTTGCCTGGCCCTTGTCTTCTGCTGTTACATTTGGTGTCGCTGCCTACCGACAAATGGAAAGCCTATGCCCTGCAGTTTTTGATGGAGACATATGGATGATCTTCGGGCAGGACTTCGAGGCTTCTTCGTAGTTAAGTGGCGTTCAAGATCTGTCAGCGATGAGGCTGCTACTTGGGACGCTGCTAGGAGGTCGGGAGAAAGCAGCATATAAAAGTGTGAGGCGAAATACCTACGAATGTGCGACAGGGTCAGGCAAACAGTTTCCAAAGTGGGAAGGACCATATATGATCACGTTGAGATGGGGTTACGCAGACACAATCGCAATGGTAAACACAGAGAAACAGGTGAACATCCGCTATCACTATCACTGGACTGGATTATGTAACATACCTTGTGTGGGAAACGAGAAGAAAGGAATACGTTGAACCGATAAGACGATTGTAGAGGGATCTGGATTTCGCCGATAATTTATACCTAATGGCACACAAACTTGAAGACCTGCAGGCGAAAATTTAAAAAAACTGGCTGAAGAAGTGGCAAATACAGGACTCCAAATGAACATAGAAAACGTGAAGGTGATGAAAATAGCCAACAACAACAACCAGCATCGATTACTACCAACAGAAGCAATTTGAAAGGAGTTACTTCCTTCACTTATCTAGAAAGCATCGTTTCAACTACAGGTGGGACGGATGATATCAGAACCAGGATCAGGAAGGAGAATCGGACCCTCATCACTGACTGACTGACCGACTGGTTTCAGTGTAGAAGATTGCAAAGATGTGCAGCAGTTCAACTTGCCACTCTCCTTCCATGTCCCCCACAAACCAACAGAAGAGAGTAAAGAAATATTCAAAAGAGAGATAATAAACAGGAATATGAAGCAAAAAGAATAGTAATATGGAAGAACAATAATAGAGTTTTATTGAATATAACAAATCAAAAGGAGTGGATGCCTCTACGGTTTTTGAGCCATATTACCAAAAGCCTCTAGCCATCGGTTTTTACCATCTCGAAGACCCCAACTAGACCTTCATCACTCTGAAATCAGTTTGGAAATCTTCTGAACACAGTCAGTATCAACAACAAAATTCGGATTTTCAACATCAATGTTAACGCATTTCTTCTACATGAGTCAGAAACTTGGCTCAAGCGTAGCGAAAGGCATTTCGAGCAGGTAGCGGCAGACGTTTATCAACAGCTGCCCAATTCGCTGGCTCCATAATGAAGAACAAATGGCCGGTCAGAAGGAATTAGCAACAACCGATAGATCCACAAATATTTAGGGGGAAATAGAGATGGATAAGACACACACTGAGGAGGCCGTCGAATAACATAGCGCGCCAACAAGGCCATCCCTCAAGTGGAATCCCAGTGGAAAGTGACGAGTGGGGCGTGTGTCCGAGGGTGAAATGGAGGAGACCGTGTGGCGAGGAGGAGATGAGAGATTATGAACAATCGTGAACCCAGCTGAAGAGGACAGCAAAGAATAGAACAAAGTGAAGATGTGTTGCTGAAGCCTTATGTTCCACTGGAAACCCAAAGGAACAATAATAATGGTAATTACAATAATCTCTAACTGATATCAATCCGTGGTCTAACTTGCAGCCAATCAAATCCCTACAAACTAATATTTAAAAACTAATGAATGAAGTTTATCATAGTATATACCCAGCTCACAGTGATTAGCCAATAATAATCGACCAATAAGGAACAAGAAGTCGATCTAGATAGAATGAGCTATTGAATTTCTATCTTTAGACGCTAACCTATATATCAGCCATGATTATTTGCAGAAAGATAATGGGTGATTTTAACTTACAACCGGTGGACTACAAAACAAAAAGCAACAGTATAGTGGAATCCAAACCATAATATAACTTGAGCGTATTTTTCGCCACGAACTCATATCAATTAAGAAATTATAGAGCACTGGACATCTGTTTTATCTTCATTAGTGCGCAGAAACGACCACAATCGGGACTGAACCCATGATCTCTAGGTTACGAGTCCAGCCAGTTAGCCTCTCACCTGGAAATGGATGGGAATGCATCTGTGCTGGTGTGATAAAGACAATGTGTGCCAATGGAATGTTAGTCTCACACTGCTTGGCTTTTGATGACTCTATCGCAGCAACCGTCTTGCTTAACAGTTGCCTGGTCACCGTTGCAAGCTCCCCAATATCCAGTGTCTGTACGGCGTGAATCAGATGTAGCTGTTGAAATATGTGTTCTGGAACACTCTCCATAAACTGAGACGCTAACATTTTTGCCTCAGAATCTTCGTCCAGTGTTGGCAGTGCGCGACGGCAGTAGGTTTGTCAGGATCAGTGCCAATACAAGAGGATCACCGTCAACTCCCAGCTTCGTGGTACGAAACTGCTGCATCGTCCAGCTCTCTGTCCATCGGGCTATCAAACTCCTCCTTCAAGCGTTCAACTACTGACTTCCAAGTTGCTTATCCTTCTATTTGCTTCACACTATCATATGCTGCCCTCGCCCGACCACTCATCAGCGTTCCAAGTAAAGGCATCTTCGCTGACGGCTCTTGAACGCCTTTCAACTCCGCAACAGCCTCGAAATCCTTGAAGAAGATTCATATGTCTCCTTCTTCAAAAACTGAAGGTAATAGGATTTTCATTTCTCGACAGGCAGCAACGCCAAATGTAACAGCAGAAGGCAAGACATAGAAGCCAAAGTATATTTTTCCTTGATCAATCCGCTGTTTATATATTTACAGTGTATATTCTTTAACCAATCACTGAGAGTGTGACTTCGGTTTACACTAAACAACATGAAGTAGAATGTTAAAATATACATAGTATTTTTCGTTAATGCAGTATATAACCGTGCGATATGTATTCAGTCTAACATCAAATCGAATGTTCACATAGATATGAGGTGTGCAGTATTGAACTGTGGGAATATGTGAGTATAACATTCCGTTGGCACACACTGTTTGTATCACACCACCACACATCAGCTGATAACCTATATGTTTTTAGCTAAATCATCAGTTGAATTGTTAGTGCATACTGTTGAAGAGTCTTAAACTAGGGCGAAACAGACTTCGTACGTCATTAAAAGCAGTTCGAAAAGCTACTTCTGACTCTTATCAACAACACTTGCCTATGATGGCTCGATACTTGAAGATCAGATGGCTGACCAGAAAGGATAAGTGACAAGAAACTCTGTCAACGAACCAAACAAGATCTTATTGGGCAACAAATATGCCGAAGGAAATGATGATCGACGGGTTACACTCTGAGGAGGCCGTCGAGTGATACCAGACGCCATGCTGTCTAGTGGAACCCGAATGGGGAAACGACGAATTAAACATGGGTTTTCGCGGATGACATGTATAAAATCGTGTCGGAAGGGGATAAGAGACTATGGGCAGTCTCAGGGCAAACTAACGAGGACTGTCGAGATTAATAGGGGAAACTGATATGTACTTCTGAAGCCCTATGTTTCACTCGGAACCCACAGGAGAAATAATCATAAAGTGACGAGACTTAGCACTCATATCAATCAAAAATACCCACAAACCTAAAAGACTCTGAATAAACGTACTGCATGGAGGATTTCATCATGAGCTGACATCAGTTAGAGAACCATTGGAAAACCTGGGAGTACTGAACAGCTGTTTCGTCCTAGTTTGGGACTCTTCATCAGTACACACCCACCCAGAAGGTCCTGGGTTCAAATCTCGGTGGGTGCCTACTGACGAAAAGTCCCAAACTAGGACGAAACAGCTGTCCGGTACTCCCAGGTTTTCCAGTGGTTCTCTAACTGATGTCAGCTCATGATGAAATCCTCCATGCAATCAAACAAAATCCCTACAAAACCAATATTTGAAAATAAACGCACTGCTGTAATGCCCACTATGAACAGAAACAGTTCATCAGGTGAATGAATTAGAGGCACATGCGGTGGGGGGGCAAGGGGCGGGCAGAAAAGGACCAACAACTATTATGCTTACCGAAGTTCAACAGTCTCTTTTAGAATACGCTTCAGTAATTCTTCTTCACGTTCTTTTAATTCATCACGTGTTAACCGTCTGCCAACTTCATATTTTGGTATATTCAGTAGACCTTCAGCAGTAGCGTATTGTTTTGCTTTGGCACGATGTTTTGGATCTTTCAGCAAGTAGCTTAACGCATGATTATAACTAGTCCATTGACCAGCATACTAAAAAATAAAAGAATAGACACAAAATATGTCAAAATTATTGGCTAACAAAATGTTTGTGGCGTGTACTACTAATAGGATTTATCAGTACTATATAAAGAGATGTTCATAGGCATAAAGATATCTAATAACGGAGAAAAAGAGTTGGCGTCAAAGAGAGCATATGTACCGGCATTGAGGAAAAACATGTGGGACACGAAAAGAAGGCAAAGAAACACAATATGAAGAGCAGAAGTATCAGAACACCGAAAATCTGTGCAAATGACGGTTTTCAGATAAGGGGTACATAATTTGCCTATAGAGACATACCAAATTAGATAAGATGGAGAAAATTTGTAGCTCAGGTGGATGATTTTGATGTGGTTGTGTTCTCTGAGCCAGATAGTTAATTTGCGAAGCTTTCATCGCCTTACTAGGCGACATCTTCAGCGCATACTTCAATTTGAAGTGAGCTTTAAGATTTCTGCACGAGTTTATTAGTCATCTCTCCTGGTGACCTTGGACATGATTGGTTGATTTTGTGTGTTTTCACACTTAGACTACTTGTATTGGAACTGATTGTTTCTTTGACTTGAACTTTGAACCTTTGTGTGAGGTTTCTTTCTTATCGGTTGGTAAATTTAGTCTATCTAGATGTGTCTATTGATTGATGATTCACTGGAATACCATGATACTAAAAATTCTCTAGCATTCTTGGTGTTTCGTCTGTCTAATATTTGAATATTTGATGATTAGGCATGCATGTCCCAATTGACCTAATGAACCATGCCGGTTGGAAAAAAAAGTTCCTGTGAGTCCCACCCCATACTAGAAAGGTCGAGTGGATAGTGGTTAGGCTAAATGCAGTTAACGTCACTTTGTAAGTTTATACTGTGTTAGGGATACTGATGGAGAAGTGCTACCGCTGGAGGATAGGGTGACCAAGAAGACACTTAGGCTGCCTCCATGTTCTACAAAGAATGGGAATTAGAAAAAGTTGGCCGGAAAAATTGTTCATTTTGAGCCGATGGTTAGATTGCGATACTGACATAACTTGACAAGCTACTTTAAATAGGCTGTATGTGGCCGTTAGCTGCAGCAAGCAGTTGCTTTCTGCTGCTGCTGGATTCAACATAGAACTTGGCACCGAAGTGCAGCAGTTCCAGTTGCCACGTTCCAAATAGCACACAAAGGTAGACAGGAAAATGAGTGAAGAGAATCAATAGAGTTTTGACAAGTATAAGAGTGAAACAGAATGAGTAATGGTAGAAAGGAATATGAAGGTTAAAGAGACTGAATACATCTGCGCCATTGACAACGATTTTGAGCCATGTCACCTATTGTCTCCAGCCATTGATTCTTAGAGTCCCGAGGGCTGGCCCCAACCCGGAAGTCTGCATCTCCCTACCTGACTCAGTTTAACTGTCAAGGATTTCATGGATTGATGAGGCCATGTTTTTGTTTGGCCGCCACTTACTCTTTTCCAACCTGCACCTATATCAGCTAGTAATGCCCGTCGGGGGAGACGATGGTTAGGCATACGCAGCACGTGACCTAACCATCTCAATCTATGTAACTTCATAGCCTCTTCGAGTGATTTTCCCTCTCTGCCCAACACTCTACGCCTAACGTCAACATTACTTACCTTATTATACCACCTAACGCGAGAAAGAGATCGTAAACATCTGTGGTCAAAAACAGACAATCTCTTCATGTCTTCCGCTCTCAATGGCCACGTCTCACCGCCATAGAGAAGGATGGAGCGAACTGCTGAGCAGTATACACGTCCCTTGGTTGACAGCCGGATGTCACGCCTACGCCAGAGACGGTTGCTTTCTGGGATTTATAATCAAGCAACACTAATGCTTTCTTTGTATCAGGTATTTCAAGATGGAATATATAACGCCTACGGTGTGAGCAGCCAGGAAGCAATAACCGTTCACTCACTTCTATAGGTAGGTACACAAAGCTTTCCTTTTCACCTAAACTTTTATATTAATAGGTAACGTAGAGTTGTTGCTCTGTAGAGTCTCTAGTCACTGAACTTTTACCTATGGGTTAAAGGTTAGGATGATTTTTCAGTCTTACAGAGTTCTAGCGACAACTAGATATTGCTAACAAACAAGTACGACACATTAAATATGGCTCATTGCTCAGAGACTCTTCAGGTTTTTAATTAAACCTTCTTTTCTCATAAGAACAAGTACACTTATGAACCGGCTACTTCACTATTAGTCTATACAGATATTGCGAATAACGTGTATACATGGTGAAATAGTGGAATACGTTTATCGCCTCATGAAGATTCGAGTGACAGGTCTGTCTGTCTGTTTTCGACATAGAACTTTGCGCAAATGTGCAGAAGTTCAAGTGGCCACACTCCATGTAGCACACAAAGCAAGGGAAGAAAGTAAAAAGAAATGCATAATAGAGACAGTAGACAGGGATATGAGACAAAAGAAATAGTAACAACGAAGAAAAATATAGTTTCATTGGGTATTATAAGTCACAAGCAGTGGATGCATCTACACCAGCCATTGAGAACGATTTTGAGCCATATCACTAATTGTCTCCAGTCATCGCCATTGGTTCTTCCTATCCCGACGACGCCAACCAGTCAGTCAGGCAGTCTACATCTTCCTACGTGACTGGCTGGCTGAAACGAACTGTTGTGGATTTCATTGATTGATGAAGTCATGTTTTGGTTTGACCACCAACTGGCTAGCTCTTTTCCAACCTGACCCTATGTCAGCTAACATTGCCTGTTGTCGAGGAAGGCGATGGCTAGGCTAGGCAAGCGTAACACATGTCCCAACAATCTCAGTCGATGTAGCTTCACAGCCTTGTCGACTGATTTCCTCTCCTTATCTAGCACTCCACCTAAGCCTGACCTTAATATTGCTCACCCTATTATACCATTTCACACACACTGGAGAGGAAGAAGCGTACCGCTTGAGCAGTACACACACCCTTTGGTCGATAGCCAGTCGGATAACACGTTTACGCAAGAGACGGCATAAACTGTCATATGCGAACCGAGCCTTCTGTATCCGCGCTGAGATTTCGTCAGTGATCAATCCTCTGGAGCCGGCTTATGCAACTTCCCAAATAAGTCAAGTGGTCAACACGCTCTGCCACTTCAATCCCTATTTCTTAGCTAGGAGTTAATGTAGTCCAGTCGTGTAGCATCATCTTACATTTGACAGGAGCGAACCGCATGCCATCGGTGGCATAGCGGTAGAATGCTCGTCAACCACCCAGGTGGTTCGGGGTTCGAGCAGGCCACCGACGCACTCCTTTACCTCGCTAAACCAGTAATAAGACTGGTAAAGAGGGGAGGTTGGGCATGAGGCTAGCAACCGATCCTGTAGCTTGAAGCCACCCTATTTTCCACTGGGAACATAAAAGGAATAAAAAATAAATAAATATAAAATGAGTTCTTGGCTGGTTAGTTCGATACCAGAGTTCCCTGTTGCTTATCCTTTCTGGGTGGTCATCTGTTCTTCAACATTGGACCAGCGACGAGAGTTATCGATGGAAGTCAGCAGTAGCTTGTTGTAAATGCTCTTGATGATATACTGAACAAGTCTCTGAAGCATACAGGAGCACTGATGTGACAGTGTTAGGTTCTGCTTGTAAATATTAGCAAAAAGCACATCATATTTATGTATTCCTAACTATATTAAAATTTGCTTAGGGTGGTGAAAAATGGGTTGTTCTGATTGGATGGTGATTAGCCCAGGACTAAGTTAAGAAAAAACTGATGAAATTTTACATTCTATCACAAAATGAATTCTGCAACTAACTAACTAACTGGTTTAAAATATCGATTACTATTATAGCCACTTCTTATCAGTGTTGAAAATCTGAATCTTGTTCCTTGTGCTCAGTACAGCAGATTTCTACACTCATTTTGAGAGTAGTGAATGTCTGTTTTCACTTTCTGATATTGACTCTGACATCTTCATTCGTGCTGTCGCCTGCAGTTGAAACGATGCCTTCCTATGGAAGTGAATAAATTGACTTTCTTTACATTTCTCCCATTGATAGTGATTGGTACTTGTTGTTCATTGGTTAAGTATTTTTTTCATCACTTCTGTCTTCTCTATTTGTTCACCTGAAGTCGTTCTACCTTTGCTGCTTCTTCAGTCAGCTTGTTAGTTTTTCTCTTGTAGATCTTCAAGTTACTATACGACACTAGACATAAATCAACGACGAAGTCTAGAATTAGGAAACTGCATTTTGTCTCTGTTTCCAGTAAAGTGTCTCTGTCCGACCGATAGCGGCTACCTTGACGGGGTAGTCGCCAGGCTCGCATATCGTAATGACCCAACAAGCTACACTGGCTGGAACTATTGTTCCTGCAGCTCCTACCATGCCAGGAAGGTTGTGTTAGGATAGCGATTAGACTAAAAGCAGTAACCGGAATAGTGTAAGAATTTTTCTTTTTACACTATGCTGGGGTCTGTGGGTGAATCGTACTGCTGGGGAACAGGGATGTAACAGCCGCAGTGAGGTGTTTCCCTCAGACGACCAGCATCCAGCCAGCTATGCTGTCCTCCACTTTGGAGAGAGGGGTTAGAAAGCGAATTAACACCAAAAGAGTACAGTGCACTGTAATTTTTTCTCTCTCTCTTTCTATCTCTCCAACTTTCCTTTGTTGTTTGTTACCAATTTCCTTATTTCCTGTATATTAGGTTGAATCATTCTGATTGCACGTGTGCGGTGTTGAATCGATAAACAAAGACTCACTCAGTGATTAACCTCTTTCTCTCTCTCCACCTAACTATATTACTTTTCATACTGTCACCTTGTTCCACCCCATTTTGTGATTACGTGCAAGTGAATGCAGTGCAATGACTGAGCTCTGTTTTATCTAGGTTATTCAACTCTGCAGGGTCAATTATTCTAGATCTAGCTAAATTTTTGTGTTCGAATAATCTGGTTGACTCCGATCTACTAGTTTGACTGACCTATGTAATTGACATTCACTAACAGTCATTACGTGGTATTTGATAAATTATTAAATTACTTTTCTTCATTGGATCTATGGAGTCCTTAAGCCAACAAAACTTATCTCTGCGGGAGTTGGTTGGTTGGTTTATTTTTTTGATTACAGCTTGATTCCACACCGTATTTTTTTGGTACAGGTATGGAATTTTCAGCATGTGATATCGGTAGCCTAAATTTTGCAGGCCGACTATAGATATCAGGTGTGCGTCGGCAGGGGATCGAACCCCACACCATGTGCATGGTCGGCGAGAGTCCTAACCACTATACCACCCTAATTCCAGCTAGATTGAGAATTCCACATAAGGCCTCTGACGTGCCTTCTTTATACAGAAGTACTACGGAGACTTTGAATTCTATATTATTTTCGTCATTTTTGTTGCTAATCTTAGTTTTTTTCTATGGTTTTTCATATATTTTTGGATAAATTCTGGTGGGTAGTGTGTTATTCACTAGTAATATTTCCTTTATTTTTTTGATTTCATTATTTAAATCTACTGGCTTACCTAATTCGCCTCTTGGCCCCATTATAGTAAACATTTAACTGATTTTACGAGTTGATCACGGACTGATATCAGTTAGAGAACCATTGAAAACCAGCAGGGAGTACTGCCAGACAGCTGTTTCATCCTAGTTTGGGAATCATCGGCAGTACGCACCCACCACAAGGGTTCGAACCCAGGACCTTCCGGTTACAAGGCGAGCTCGTATACCATTCAGCCACTGGGACCCGATTCAATGGCTAATGAATTCTAACTTCTACCAATTCGTGATTTTAGCGCGACCCCAACTATTGTCATTGGTGGGACATCCATCTACACACGTGACTTCTAATTGGACCTCACTGGTCACGACTTCTCACTAGAACTCCAGGAAGCTCCAACCTGAAGCAAGTCACTAGCGAGCATCAGAATAATTTTCTAAAGTTTGGTTTGTAAGGATTAGTTATGTTTTACGAGTTGATCACGGACTGATATCAGTTATCAGGAAGGTCCTGGGTTCGAACCCTTGCAGTGGGTGCGTACTGCCGATGATTCCCAAACTAGGATGAAACAGCAGCTGTCCAGTATTCCCTGGTTTTCAATGGTTCTCTAACTGATATCAGTCCGTGATCAACTCGTAAAACATAACTAATCCTTACAAACCAAACTTTAGAAAAAAACATTTAACTGAGCCTGTCTACATCATTTCTGGATGATGGGATAAATTACATTGAGGATATTTTGTGGTTGGCCGTGTCCTTAGGTAGTTTTAGTCAATTTCAGTGGTAGTCTTTATCAAGAACCAACAGTAATTAGAGAAGAACTATTAGAAACCAAGAATATGGTTATTTCTGTGTAGTCTGAAATTCTCTCGACAGATCACATGCATGAAATTAAGGATGATGAGCACATCACCATTTTAACCATATTAGTTAGCAATTGAATATCTCATGATTTTCAAATCCACAGTGAAGTATTCATATCTACGTTGTTTGGCCAACCTTCAGTGCCGAACATATTACTTAAGTTATGTTTGAAAAGGGAGAATGTACTTACCTGTCACTCGTGACTGGACTACACTGACTCCTAGCTTAAAGATAGGGAGTAAAGTGGTTGGTAGAGCGTGTTGACTGCTTCACTTATTTGGCAAGTCGCATCAACCAGCCCCAACGGGTTGATTGCTGACAAAATCTCACCACGGATACAGACGCCTAGTTCCGCATTTGCCAGTTTACGCCATCTCTTGCGTAGACGTGATATCTGAATCGCTCAGCACTTCACTCCCACCTTCTCCTTTATGGCTATGAGTGAGACCTGGCCACTGAGAGTGGAAGACATGAAAAGGCCGGTTAGCTGTCTTTGATCATACGTGCCTGTGTTCTATTTCCCTTGTGTGTGAAATGGTATAATAGGGTGAGCAATATTAAGGTCAGGCTTATGTGGAGTACTAGGTAAATAGGGGAAATCAATCGATAAGGCTGTGAAGCTACATCGATTGAGATGGTTAGGACATGTGTTACGCTTCCCTAGTCATCGCCTTCCTCGACAACAGGCAATGTTAGCTGACATAGGGTCAGGTTGGAAAAGAGCTAGTTAGTAGCGGTCAAACCAAAACATGACTTCATCAATCAATGAAATCCATAACAGTTAGTTTCAGCCAGCCAGTCACGTAGGAAGATGTAGACTTCCTGACTGTTTCGGGTCCTCGGGACGGTAAACACCAGTGGCAATGGCTGGAGACAATTAGTGATATGGCTCAAAATCGTTCTCAATGGCTGGTGTAGATGCATCCACTCCTTGTGACTTATAATACCCAATGAAACTATATTTTTCTTCGTTGTTACTATTTCTTTTGTCTCATATCCCTGTCTACTGTCTCTATTATGCATTTCTTTTTACTTTCTTCTCTTGCTTTGTGTGCTACATGGAGGGAGAGTGGCGACTCGAACTTTTTTTTTATTTTGATTTACAGCTTGATTCCACACCGTATTTTCAGTACAAGTGTGGAATTTTCAGCATGGATATCGGCAGCCCAAATTCAGGCCGACATAGATATCGGGTGTGCGCCGGCAGGGGATCGAACCTCGGACCATGTGCATGGTCGGCGAGAGTCCTAACCACTGTGCCACCGACGCACAAATCTGCACAAATCGGTGCAAAGTTCTATGTTGAAAACAGTGACTCAGTCAGTGCCAGTGATGCACGCCAAGAACCTTGGATCCAACAAATATGTAGACAAAAAAGTGGAAATGGATTGAATACATACACTCAGGAGACCATCGAGTGACAACATTACACGCCATGCTGGCCCCCTCTAGTGGATCCCGAATAAAAAACAACGAGTCAGGCGTCCAAGGGCGACATAGAGGAGATTATATGAGAAGCAAAAATGAAGCCATATAGGCAGTTGTGGAGACAGCTGAAGTGAAATACTGTAGAGAATTGAGTCAAATGTCAATGTACTGCTGAGACTCCATGTTCCAACTGGAACCCAAGGGAATATTAATAATAATAATAATCATAATAAAATCCAAGATATTGCATCTACTAACTCTAAACATCTAATAGACTATTTTCTTTTAAAAAAAAAATACAGTTCAATGGAGACCAATCTACAGAAATACTGAGAAATCGGCTCTCCCGCTAATTAAAGAAAACCTTCTTTGCAGCTGAATTACAACTGACGTTCTCCACGAGACCAATGATTCGCATGAACGTGAAGGATAAGCTACCGCTGTTGGCCTCATCTATGTGCATCTACCAATTCACCTGCTCGTGTGGAGCCAGTTATATCGGCCGTATTCAATGTTCGCTATCCAAACACGTCAACGAACATTAACCTTCATGGATTTATAAAGCAGTTACCGATGCCCTCGCAGCTCGATCCTTGAACATTTGATCGAATCTGGACACCAAGTCAAACCACAAATAAACTTCAAAGTTATCTACAGAATACAAGGCAATCTTGCTAAAAGTGTACGGATCAAACTTCTCCACATCACAGAAGCAATGGCAATTCATCTGCTAAATCCTGAACTCTGCATACAAAAGAAATTCGTTCATTCATTAAATCTACAATGGACGTAATCTTTCTTAATTTCAGTCTTACTAATTGTATTATTTTGTCTTTTGCATTTTATTATTTCACATCTTCATTTGTATTATTCTCTACCCCACGCTTTTGTAATCTCTACCCTCATTAACAATGTTGCTAACTCGACCCACGTCCAATTTCTAGTCAACTATATTACGTCATCCGGTTAACTTACTTAATTTTCAACTGTATTATTCTTTACCCCTACCCTTATTTAATTTTAACCACCACTCATTAACACTGATGTCAACCTGACCTACTCTGAATTCTACTCAACCGCATTACGTCATCCAATTCACTTAATCAATTCTATTTTATTTTCTATCTAATTAACGTTTGTTTCCAAGCCAAATAATACTTATATTACGTAATTATCTAAACTTTATAAATCTAATGTACACACACACAAACAAAATTGTATATATATGCGATTGTACAGCTCAGTGAATGAATTCGCCGAAAAGAGTCTCTTCGCTGAATGCCTTCTTTTATTTTATATAAAAAAATAAAAACCAACTTACTTGTATTGAGGAGATAATCAACAGGATAGATATAATCACTAGTCTGACATCAACTTTAGCAGAATACTGACGTCGATAATATCGATAATAGTGGTAATACATTTGATCTGGATTATCCAACATGTAGTCATATTCACGTCGTTGTTCTGGATCACTTAAAATCTAGCCGTGAAAAAAGAAAAAGAGAATTAATCAAGAAAGATTAAAGTAAGCGGTGGGGTGTTATTGTTCGGGAGCTGTTTCCTCTGTGAGGTGGACAGTTTTATTGTGAAGCTTTCATTATCTGTCAGGAGAACATCTTCAGAGCTAACCGCATAATGTGAAGGGAATTCACTTTCAACTCAGAGAATACAACACAACAACAACAACAGCAAAAGCAGCACTGAAGAACACCCAACTGAGCTTAAAAATCTTCTTCACATTATCGTTTACTGCCTGATGTATATGGATTTATATAACTTGCCAAGCAGCAGGATGTTAGCCAGCTAGGCAAGTGTAGTCCAGATTCACTTTCCAGCTGATGGACATATTTAATCTGGGAAAAGAGGAGAGCTCGGGAGTGAGGCTAGTAATCGTATCCTCACATCACCCCCGGAAAGAAACAACAACGCCACTGCTACTGTAACTTGAATACTTGAAGTTTGAAGACCTACATTCTATACTTGGAACGCAAAGGAAAAGAAAAACCATCCTAAAGAAGAAGAAGAAGAAGAAAGAAGTTATCGAAGACGGTTGTTGCTCCCTTCCTCTCTCCTCACATCATTTTGTTTTAATGGGAACTTCTAATTTATGTCAATATAAATCATGAAATTTTTGATTGACAACCCCGCTTGCTAGAAGAGGAGTGTAGTCAGGGGTATTTCAGGAATTGTTTATGAAAACGTGATATTTGTCAAAAGTAACCTCGCCCTTATTTGAGATCAGTTACCTAGTTTACATTACACTGTTATTAGTATTATTTGCCATTCTTTGAATACAAATGAGAAACTTGGCGCCGCGTCACGAAGGGCACTTCGAACAAAATACACACCTTCATCAACAGCTGCCTTTGCTCAATACTACTCAAGATCAGATGGCCGGCCAGTAAAGATCAGCAACAGGGATCTCTGGCAATGAACGAACCAACCCAGCAGGAACCGATTGTGCAACAAATATGCGGGAAGAAATGGAGGTGGATTGGTCATACTCTGAGTAAACAAACCATCAAGTGACATCAAACGCCAGGTCATCCCTGCAGTGGAACCTGAATGGGAAGTGGCGAGTTGGTCGTCAGTGCGAGGATGAGATGGAGTGGAGGAGGTGATGAGAAGAGGAGATGAAAGCATGTGGGCAGACGTGGAACCAGGTGAAAACGTTGGCAGAGAACCGAACGCAATGAAGACGTGCGACTGAAGCCTTATGTTCCTCTAGGAATTAAGGAGAAAGTGATAATACCAATAATTCTTTGAATTTGCTCATTGCATTATCATACTGCTGGTTCTCTTTATTAGTTTGCGAATAGAGAAAGAACGAAGATGTTTGCAGGATGATAAGAACTCGTTTAATTTCATGGATTTTCTTTTCAACTGCACACATCCTAAACAAAACCAATTATAAGTTACAAAATGGCGTCTCGACATACTTTCTCACAGTGACTTCGAGTTATAGATAGACAGTATAGGCAACATAATTTCAAAGATGATGTAAGTAGACAAATTATTCAGTGTTGAAAGAGTAACTTTGTGTATTGTGCATTATCTTGAAAGCCTGACTAATTTCCACTGCATGTCCTGTGTCCTGACACAAGGAAAACCATGGTTGCTTCGGTTCCCAGAAACCATTGCCATCAGAAGACTTTAAATCAAACTATACGTACAGAAAGATAGTGTGACTAATCATCTCTCACTACCCTACCTGGTAACGATGATTGTTTTGTTCGTGTGCTTTTGTGTTTTGTTCTATTGTTGCATAACATTCCAATAACAATTTTGATTTTGATACCAACTTACTGAGTTGAACTCACTATTACATTTCCAAAATCGATTGACATGTTTTGTCTATGTTATAATTTTACTTTACTATTCCCCCTCCCCACCCTCCTGAACTCTCCATCAAAATATGTATAAACTCATTTTGTTGTTCTATCTTGTATTTTGTCTCTAATCCAGCCTTGTTTCCAAGCCATATATTGAACTCTACTCGCTTGTCTAATTATTTTAGAAAATAGTTACTATTTTAACTTTCTATAGTTTGGTTTGTAAGGGTTGGCTTTGTTTTTACGAGTTGACCACGGATTGATATCAATTAGAGAACCATTGAAAACCAGCAGGGAGTACTGCCAGACAGCTGCTGTTTCATCCTAGTTTGGGAATCATCGGCAGTACGCACCCACCACAAGGGTTCGAACCCAGGACCTTCCGGTTACAAGGCGAGCTCGTATACCATTCAGCCACTGGGACCCGATTCAATGGCTAATGAATTCTAACTTCTACCAATTCGTGATTTTAGCGCGACCCCAACTATTGTCATTGGTGGGACATCCATCTACACACGTGACATCTAATTGGACCTCACTGGTCACAACTTCTCACTAGAACTCCAGGAAACTCCATCCTGTAGCAAGTCACTAGCGAGCATCAGATTAATTTTCTATAGTTTGGTTTGTAAAGTTTAGTTTTGTTTTTACGAGTTGATCACGGATTGATATCAGTAAGAGAACCATTGAAAACCAGGTAGTGAGTACTGGACAGCTGTTTCATCCTAGTTTGGGAATCATCGGCAGGACCTTCCTGTTAGAAGTTAGAATTCATGAGCCATTGAATCGGATCCCAGTAGCTGAATGGTATACAAGCCAGCTTGCCTTGTAACCGGAAGGTCCTGGGTTCGAACCCTTGTGGTGGGTGCGTACTACCGATGATTCCCAAACTATTTTAACGCCAAATAATTGTATACTTACATCATTTTTGGAATTATGACGCCTACCTATACTTTCTATCTATAACTCGAACTAAAAAAATATGTTCAGACACCATCTTGTAACTTATAATTGATTCTGTTTAGGATGTGTGCAGTTGAAGAAAATCCACGAAGTGAAACGGTCTCGTATTATCCTGCAAATATTTTCCTTCTTTCTTTAAGCATCAGGATTGCTTCTCGTAACACTGATTACAACTCACCCCGTGAAACCTGGATAAGATCTCATATCAATCACTGACTGTAGATCTTCTTTTCTCATATCTTTGCGCTCGCTCCTCTAAAGTTCCAACAGAGCTTGTGTTGTTTTTACAAGGTAGATTTGCTAACCTTATTATCAGCCTTCTCTCCTCACTAGCTAGACCAGATTGAGCAGCGTGCAGGCTGAGAATCGAACCCGGAACATGTGCATCGCATCATTGGCGAGCGGACCCTCCACTGAGGTGCTAACTCACACTGGCTACAATATGATAATATTCTTGCATTTATAACAGCGCAGCCTGGAGAAGAAAGAGAACTTATTCATGATGAAAACGACACTTGTTCCCGCCGTCAAATTTTCTCATGTTTTAAATACTTTAATGGAAGAATTTATATTCCACGAAGAACATTCCCAACAGGCTACTACTGAAGACTGAAGATCAGATGGCTAGACAGAAAGGATAAACAACAGGGAACTCTGGCATCAAGCGGACCAACCAAGTTACCTATCGTCCAACAAATAGGCGGAAATAAATAGAGATGGATTGAACATACGCTGAGAAGATAGTTAACTAACATCATGCGCCATGCCGTCACGTTCAACCCGAATGGGAAGCAACGAGTCGGGTGTCCAAGGGTGCCATAGAAGAAATGAAAGCTTAGATACGATGGTGGAGCCAGTTACAAAAGACTGCATAGGACAGGCTGGAACGGAAATGTCCTGCCGAAGCTCTAAGTTCCATCAAGAACCCAAGGGAATAATAATTATATAACAAAGTAATCATTTGAAGTAACTATGACTCTCTTAAGGCAGTGTCTTGAGGTCATGGTTGCGCTGACAAGAACGGTAGCTTGGTCATGAAAACCGAGCTGGAAGGATGTTGGGGAGAGTCTTGTATCCCAATACCAAATGGGCAGCTTGATTCGAACCTTCAGACGACCTGTGAGGGGACTAGTTTGCTCAAGGATGGTGGCCTTTGAGGCTTCGTCGGACTGCGATCGGTCGTGGGTCTCCGCGGCTGGTTGTAGTGTAACAACAGAAGACAAGGGCCAGGCAACAGATCGTTTATTAAGGAAAATCAACACATATTTATGGATTTTAATGTACATTATTGTAGATTATTGTTAGTAGAAAATACAGTCTTTTGATTGGTTGTTTCTCACAGAAAGTTAACCTTGCATCTCTTTGTGGCTGTGTCAGATCATCCATATGCTAACTGCATCCGTCTACGCAAAGCCTTTGTTCTCATTTTCTCACCACCAATATTGGGGAAATAAACATTGACGTCAATTACTGTCTACCAACTTTGGCTAGCAGCCAGCTCTCACCACAGTAGGTCTTTAAAACCGTCCAGATAGGTTATATAGAGCAGGTAGGTGGCGCGACCTCCAGTTGCTCGGGCGTGCAAGCGTCAGGGTTCCGCCCATGATTTAGTGGGAACAGAGCAGCCGTGGAAGTAACCGCCCGCGGTCCGGGGACCCAGTCTCTTAGACCAGACTAAACATTTTTGTACAACCACCCGAAGAGGTGTATATGACTATTGTCTTTGTTCAGGAAGCATTTCGGACTTCTGGTGGTTTGGGATGTGGACTGTTCTCATAGGCTGAAGTGAGGTGGGTAGGAGCCTTCACAGGAAAGTAAAATCTCATATTCATGCTTGTCTTGGTCAGCGGAGGGGAGCCACCGGTGAGAGGATCGTCAGCATTTTAGGTGCTCTTGCCGTCTTTATGTCGATTTAAAGAATTGTCCCTGATCCGAGGATGATGGTTGTATGCTACCTGCAAGGTGGAAGTGAAATTATGTGACCAAATCATGAGAGTGACCATGATCCACTGAGGTGGGGCAGTACGTACCATCTGAGAAGCAGCCATGGTTTGGTTGAGACCGGACAGTGGGGGGTGGGAAAACACCTACCACTGGGGGAGCGTTAATGGAGTGCTCATTGCTTGAACGTACCTGAGGTGTTGTCCACTCAGCAGGGATACTAACTCTGGGGGGAAATGGGTTTGTGGGAATTAATAGTACCGCTCTCTCCTCCGGAGGCCTTGTTGAAAATACGACGTAAAACGCTTAAAGTACTGGACTGCATCAGGTAGAAGGTTAGGTAACACACTACAATCTCTGGTTATTATCGACTAGAGGAATAATAACAACTTATAAATTTTGGCACTTAACTTGAAATTGCACAAGACAAGTTGTTTTACGATAAATTATTCCTACCTTGAAGCTGTTTGCATATATGGAAGTCGATTTCAACAAAAAAGAGGGTGGATGGAGAGAACAGTATGTCGACTTTCTCTGAGCAGCAGATCCAAATAATACTAACGAGAACCAAAACCCAATTTCTTAAACAAGATCACATGCTACTAAAACATTCTCAATGGATTCTAAACTCTCCAAGTAAGAACCAATGTTGTCAAAAAAGTATCGACGGTCTGAGTAATAACAATTAAGGGAAGACAGATTGTCAGTCGTGCCTCTGATCTTGGCTGGACTTTAAAACATCACATATATTACAGGAATGCAAACGTGCACACATAGACACACATAGACACATACACTCACTGACTCACTTCATATGCAGTATTGATCAAACGAAAGCGTTCTTCAGCTTTGCGTTTCTCTTCTACTGTCCTCTGTCTATCTGGATGATGTTTCCGTGCCATTTCATGGTAGGCTTTACGGATTCGTGCTTTATCATCTTCTCGTGTAACCTGCAAGACTATATGAATAGTAAAAAGAAAGAGAGAGAGAAAACAGAAATTATTGTGTAAACTTGATTATAAATTGTACGCACCAGGACAGGAAAGAAAATTATCTCCAGTTTAATTTGCTTTCAAGTTTAATCCCGGATTGGTGTCAGTACTGAATGACTTTTGCATCTTAGTTTGTGACTCTTTAACAAGACGCAGCCATGAACCTACCAGGAATCAAACCTAGGACCTTTAGGTTACAAGGAGAACTCGTTAGCCATTCAGCCAGTGAGATAAAATCCAACAGTCCATGAATTCCAACTTCTGTCAATTCATGACTTTTAGCACCACGACCAGCTCTGGTGTTGTCAGCGAGTATATGTCCTTACACTCGACCTAGACCTGGACCCCACTGGTCACGACTTCTCACTGGAATCCCAGGCAACTTTGTCTTATAGTCAGTAACTAGTGAGCATCAGATTAAATTCGAAGTGTTAATTTGCAGCAATTTGATTGCTCTGAAGTTTGCTCACGGATTAATATCAGCTACAGAACCACTGAAGACCATGGAGTACTGGAAAGCTGTTCTATCTTAGTTGACCTACTCTTCAGCAGTACGTACCCATGAACCCACACCGGGAATCGAATCCCCATCGAATGTTTTAAAACAACTAGTCCTTTAATAAATTCAGATAGCCTTATTAAAAGATGGAGATTTCCAGCTACCTCGGGTAGACCTGCATGTCCAGACGTCCACGTTCACCCTTTCACAGCCACATGAAGGCAGTAAATAGGACTTAACTGGTAGAGGCTATGAACCCGAGGTGACGTGAGAGCATTTCGAGAGAAAGATCGAAGTCTACTCACCTTAGGACATACTGGGAGGTGTTTACGGATGCAAACCAACTAATAGTGGTTTGCAGGGATTCGATTGCTTACAGGATTTCATCATGAACTGACATCTTTCGGAGAACCGTTGGTAAACCTGGGAGTACTGGATAACCAGCTGTTTCGTCAGCCTAATTTGGGACTCCTCCTCAGCGGTACGTACCCGCCGCCAAGGTTCGAACCCAGGACCTTCTGGTTACAAGACGAACTCGCAGACCACCAATCCACTGGGACCCAATCCAATCGTCCATGCCTGGAGTCCTGGTGAGAAGTCGTGACCAGTGTGGTAGAGCAAGTCGGGCGTGAGAACAAATACTCACCATGCATGATACTGGCTAGTGCCGGTCGCGCTACATTGTGAATTGGCAGAAGCTGCGATTCATGGGCTGGCGGTGGGTAAGTACCACTAAAGCGGAGTCCCAAATTAGGCTGACAAAACAGCTGGCTATCCAACACTACCCAGTACTGGGCTATGAACCACATTTATTGTGTGGATGCTAATGGTATGCTACTCAATTGCCCAGGCTGAAGTAGGCGAAGTGGAACTCGAACCTGGGACGCATTGACTGAAAATCAAGTGCTACATTTTGACCAAAACAACTCATAACTCCTATTCGAGTACAAATCAATCATTCCAGTCAACTCGAAATGTTATTCTAATTAACATAGACTAATAATAATAATAATAATAAAGTCAGAAAGAAAGTCGAACTCTATGAGAAAAACAATAAAAAACAAAACAAAACTGTCATCTCATTTTATTTAGCTGACAGTAATTACTAACTACTCCCTTAAAGTATAGACGGGGTGAAATCAATTTAATAATTCGAATACACACGCACACACACACACAATAAATATGCACTCAAGCGGATGAATGAATGGATATGCTCACAACTCTACACTATCCCACAACAACTGCTACTCAAAATCAACTATATACTAACCTAATTTCTACATTATTTATTCAATATATTAAATATTCCCATAGTAAAATTTAGAACAACACATTTAAGCGAACAATATTGTTTTCAATTAGATCTCATCAGGCTTAACTCTAATATATATAAGTTTACAAATAAAAATTCAAATATAAACCAATCATGGTGTTTTGTCTATAGGATAATAAGATGGTGAATATAAATTGTGCAATTAGTCATAATAGTAGTAATGATAATAATAATTATAGTAATAATAGAAATGGTCTTATCAATAATAAGGATGAAAAAGTGAGGCAATCTGTGATAACACGAATAATAAAAAACAGCATGATTAAACAAACAACTGTTCAGGTGGAAGTAGTCGATAAAGGCTAGTAAAAACAAATGAACCGATTAAGTAATGTTAGATTGTAAGGGAAGGAAATGAAACACGTTTATAATGAAGATAAGATTAAGGGATGATAAGAAAGGGGATGAAAATACAAACAAAGGGTGGTGTAGAAGTTATTAGTTGGTTACGTCTTAATAGGCCAAGGGAGGGATAAAGGCTGTACGAACTTTTTTTGAATACATAATTTAGGTTTAATAGTTCGAATGCCTATTGCCTCAGCTGTGTGTAGTAGACGAATACGAAGTCTATTGGAAAGATTCGGTGGGATACGATGAATCACTTTGAAAGCTCTCGTTTTCTCCACTACATGACCACTATCAATTAAATGTGACAAAATTGAGCTACGGATTGTTTTTGTCTGTTCTTTGCCAAACCACGATGGGAGATGCTCACTAACACGTTGGCTAAGCTGTCTAGTAGTACGCCCAATATAACTGTCACCGCAGGTGCAGTTGAATTGATAAATACACATAGATGTGGCAAAACTGTCAAGCTTATCCTTCGTTTGCGTCGCAATCATTCGTCGGCTAGAGAATGACAAACATAGGTGTGCTGCGTAAAATGTTCTTCGTATACTCCTTGAAAGTCTTTGGAATAGAATCTCACTTGATAAGTCACCATTAAATTGTAACTTAATAAATAGAGGTTTCTTACGTGCCGTCAGAGTCTCCGGTTTTTTCTCCGATGTTTTCATATGTTTCTTTATGAAATTACTCGGATAGCCCATCTCCATCAAGGAGTCGTGAATATATTCAAATTCCTTTTGTAAGAGGTCATCTGTACATATCTTTCTTGCTCTGCTCGCAAGACATTTTACAAAATTCCTTTTATATTTAATGGGCACGTAACTAAGGAAGTGTGTATATTGCCCTGTGAAAGTGCTTTTTCTATACACGCTTCTTCCAAGTGACCCATCTTCTCTCTTATTGTCCTGCTCCTCTTCACAAGTAAAGGTAAGCGAAGGGTGGATGTTGTTGAATTTGAGCAACAATTCGTCTATATTAACATTCTCATCAGCTAAGATAAACGTATCATCGACATATCGGTAATACATATCAAACTGCTTGATGATGTCCTTCAATTTCCCGTTTTCAAGTTTTGCGAGAAAGAAGTCAGCTAACATTGGGCCTAATGGTGAACCTATAGCTATTCCATCTACTTGTCGATAGTATGAATTATTAAAGACGAAGTGAACATTCATTGTGCATTTAAGAAGTAATTCTTTGAGGCTACACAAGGGGATTCCTAAGTTCAATTGCCTTTCGGCGATTTCTTGACAAATATAGTCTACTGTTTCCATAAGCGGTACATTAGTGAATAGTGAGGATACATCCATGGATAACATGCGTTTATACCTCACATTAGTCTCGGATATTTTAGAAATAAAGTCGAAGACATCACTAATTCTATGTTGCACGATTTCTCTGTGCAAAGGACCCAAAATCTTCACTAACCACTTCGCTGTTCCATGAAATGGAGAGTTATACATATCTAAAACAGGGCGAAGAGGAAGACCCGGTTTGTGAACTTTTGGTAGACCGTAAAGACAATCAATGAGTATAGTGATTATGTTGTGTCGTGTTTACCTATCTTCTGGGTTTTCTACAAACACTTCCAAAAACTTAAATAACCATGTTTATATTAAAACTTCTACGATTTCCTCATTGACTAATATAAAACTCAAATAAGTAGGAAGAAAGGAAGAACTCAAGGAAGGAAGGAAGATGAAGAGAGGATATCGATTACACTATGAGCATTAGCATTAGCATTATTAGGATTTCTATTAATCAAAGTGTAAATTCTATCCAATGCACATTAAGCGTAATCGGCAGTTGGTTAAATCAATCAATTTTGTGCAAAGTACAGTAATAATAATAATAATAAAGTGATCAAAAGTCATTTTACTAGAAGTCAAGCATGAAAAGAAAAGAAACACAAAGAAGGAACAAAGAAGACAGATTAATCGATAAACGGAAATGAGTTTATGAGTTTAAAACCGCATAACACAACACACACACAGCCTTTGAACAGATTGATAATTAGAGATTAGACACTTCTGCCTGGCTTACCGACCAGAACAGTAATTATAATAGTAATAATAATAATTATTATTATTGACAATTTATATAAAACAATCTAAGCTGATTTATTAAGTAAGGTCAATATATCAGTGAACTTAAGGTAATAAATAAGCCATTTATATACTCACAAACATCCTCTACCTCAACTTTATAAACTTTGAGAAAGCCTTCGACAGCGTTGACCGCGAAGTAATTTGGAAACTAATCGAGTACTACGGCGTACCCCAAATATTCATCAACCTTATTCAACAGCTGTACGACAACGGCACATGTCAAGTGATCCACAAGGGAAAACTCAGCGAGGCGTTTGGAGTAAACACAGGAGTCAGACAAGGGTGCTTATTATCACCAATGATATTCCTAATTGTGGTGGTGGACTGGATTATGCATCAGACAGTGGGAAACGAGAAGACAGGGATATCCTGGACCGATGTGAAGAATCTAGAAGACCTGGATTTCGCGTGTGGATGATTTATGTTTGATGTCACTTAAAATCGAAGACTTATAAGCGAAAACCGATAAACTAGTCGAAGAAGCAGCAAAGACAGGACTCCAGGTGAACATGGACAAGACGGAGGTTATGAAAATAACCAAACAACAACAACAACAGCAGCAGAAACATCCAGCGCCAATCACCATCAACGGGGGGGATTTCAAAGGGGTTACTTCATT